TGCCCGCCACCACGCCCGGCTAATTTTTTGTATTATTAGTAGACCCAGAGTTTCACCATGTTGACCAGGCTGATCTCGAACTCCTGTCCTCAGGTGATCCACCCGCCTCGGCCTCCCAAAGTGCTGGGATTCCAAGCATGAACCATCACACCCGGCCCTTTTTTCTAACTTTATTTATTAATGAGTATGTATTCAATAGGTGACGGGGTTTCCTGTGGTACTGGAATATACAAAAAGATCCTATGAAATCTTGATATATTTAAATCTGTCATCCAAACTAGTAACAATTTCCCTAGTAGAAAACTTGGCTTTATTATACGTTCCCAGTATAAAGTCTCAGACAAATTACTCATGTCGAGAGAAAAAAAATTTTTTTTTTTTGTCAAACCGATTGATAGATTTTCCATGAATATTCAACAGTCAATAAATATTGCCTACCATGTGACAGGCTTTGTGCTGGATATTGGGAATATAGCAGTGAGACAATTTCCATCCCAAAGGAGCCCCCAGATTAGAAAGGAGAATGGCAAGTAACCAGGTAATTATAATTATAATATAGAATAATGATAATACAAAGGGAGAAGTAGTTCCACAGGGCCAAGTATGGGAGCTGTGAGAGCTCAGAGGAGTTCATTGATTCATCCATTCGACCCAATTGATTATTCAACATATTTATTGAGCATCTACAATGTGCCTGGGTACTGTGCTAGGAACAAGGAAAACAATAGAGGAAAGAAGGACATATCCCCTGCCCTCATGTTGCTTTGGGTCTAGTGGAGGAGAGAGACAGATACGCAATAATTATAACATGCTAATGCTATGAAAGGAGAGCATCCAGGAGGCACCAACCCACGTTGGGTCATGAGGAAAGGGTAGCCGAGATGAAATGGGAAGGATCCAAAGGTGGGGAAGAATGTTTCATACAGAGGAATGGTGCTGTGCACAGGGGCAAGAGGGACCATAGTGAAGGTCATTTTATTATTATTATTATTATTATTTGAGATGGAGTCTTGCTCTTTTGCCCAGGCTACAGTGCAGTGGTGCAACCTAGGCTCACTGCAACCTCTGCCTCCCAGGTTCAGGTGATTCTCCTGCCTCAGCCTCCCAAGTAGCTGGAATTACAGGCATGTGCCACCATGCCCGATTGAGTTTTGTATTTTTAGTAGAGACGGGTTTTCACCATCTTGGTGAGACTGGTCTCAAACTCCTGACCTCATGATTCACCCGCCTAGGCCTCCCAAAGTGCTGGGATTACAGGTGTGAGCCGCTGTGCCTGGCCTGTGAAGGTCATTTTAAATGGCTGGAGCAAAAAACTCGGGCGGAGTGGAGGTTGCAAGGGGGTAGGGAGAGAAGAGTTTGGCAAAAGATAATCAGTGACCAGATCCTGACAAATCTTGTAAGCCATGTTAAGGGGTTTGGTCTTTTTCTGGGGTTAATGGGCAAAGAGAATATTTAAGCAAAGGAACGAAGTGGTCAGATGTTCACTTTAGCAAGTCCCTGGGTGCCATGTAGAAAGTGGACTGTAGGTGAGATGCCAGAGGCAGGGGAGCAGTTAGGGGTCTCTTGATGTTCTCTTGCAGGTGCTGGCAATGATCCATCCTCAGAACAGTGATGGAGAGACGTGGACTCATTGGAGAACCACGTGGGAGGCACAAGTAACATGGGGAACTCTGGAAACAAAGCAGTGTGGGGAGAAGGATACTGGTTTCTGACTTCAGCAACTAAGAAGATAGTAGAACACAAGACATTTGGGACTGGAGGTAGGTCATCAGTTCCTTTTGGTGTATGCTGAACTTGACGGGGGGTCTGTGGGGCAGTCACAGGCAGATGTCTTTGAGGCAACCCTGCTGGAACTGGAGAGAAAGAGCTCAGCTGAAGTCAGAATAGAGGGGGCAGCCGGGCACGGTGGCTCACATCTGTAATCCCAGCACTTTGGGAGGCTGAGGTGAGTGGATCACCTGAGGTCAGGAGTTCGAGACCAACCTGGCCAGCATTGTGAAACTCCGTCTCTACTAAAAACACACAAAAAATTAGCCAGGTGCGGGCGTGTTGGCACACACCTGTAATCCCAGCTACTCAGGAGGCTGAGGCAGGAAAATCGCTTGAACCTGGAAGGGGAAGGTTGCAGTGAGCTGAGATTGTGCCACTACACTCCAGCGTGGGTGACAGAATGAGACTTGGTCTCAAAAAAAAAAAAAAAAAAAGAATGGAGGGGCCCACTGAGCTCATGGACACTGGTGAGATCACTCGTGAGTGTTGGAGGCAGGTGGGCAGAGACACAGGGACAGAATCTGAAGAAGACTAGCATTGAAGAGATGCTTTAGAAAGAGTGGGTGGCCCCAAAATGAGATGGAGACAGGAAGAGAACCAGGAGAGGGTGGCGTCCCAGAAACCAAGTAAGAGTCAACATTTGTCTCGTATTTCTTTTTAATTTTTGTCACAGGCATGGAGGGTTTACAGAACATTTGTAAGAAGCAAGCATGTGTTTGAAACACTCCAGACCTTTGGCTTATTTCTGTTCTATAATTTGGGAAGAGTCCTCTCTTTGGCTATACCAGAGTCCCGTAAGGCCATAGTTAGAGAACTGCTGGCCTAACATAAGGAGGGTTTATTTATTTATTTATTCTTATTTTTTGAGATGGAGTTTCACTCTTGTTGCCCAGGCTAGAGTGCAATGGCGCATTCTTGGCTCACTACAACCTGCGCCTGTAGTCCCAGCTACTAGGGAGGCTGAGGCAGGAGAATGGCGTAAACGCGGGAGGTGGAGTTGCAGTGAGCTGAGATCAGGCCACTGCACTCCAGCCTGGGTGACAGAGCAAGACTCCGTCTCAAAAAAAAAAAAAAAGAACACAGCCTCAAGCCCCTTCCTTCCAGATCACTTGTCCCTGGGCACCTGGGAGGAACAGAAGGTCCAGTGTATGGTGCTGTAGCCAATGAGATGCAAGGGGCGTGGGCTGATGTCTTGTAAACGAGTGTCCTAATGGGGCCAACGAGGCCCGAGGTCAGTTTGTAGGCTCTTAGACCTCATCATTCTTCCAGCTGATCTGTTAGAAGCCCTAGACTTGACTCATTCTCACTATACCTCACAAGATCTGGTTTCTAAGCAACCTCTGGGAAATCTGGCAAATGAACAGGCTGCAAGAAGAGCTCTGTGGACCTGGAAAGCCTGAGAGTGACTCTCAGACGAGCTTTCCTCAAGAGAGAAAATGCGTTCCTCTATTTCAAGTTTTCTCCTCAATCAACACTGGCACTGGGACCTGCCTTCCTCCTGGTCCTCTTTCTAGACTCTATGAAGCTTCCACCTGGCTAGTAATGCCTCCTGAGAGGCCGAGGACGGTGGATCACCTGAGGTCCAGGAGTTCAAGACCAGCCTACCAACATGGAAAACCCCATTTCTACTAAAATACAAAATTAGGCGTGGTGCGCATGCCTGTAATCCCACTACTCGGAGGCTGAGCAGGAGAATCAGTTGAAATCGGGAGACGGAGGGCTTGCGTGAGGCGAGATCACGCCACTGCACTCCACTGGGCGACAGAGCAAGCTCGTCTCAAAAAAAAAAAACAAGAAAGAAAGAAAGAAAATGATGGACAGGGGATGTTAAGCCCCCTGAACTCTCATCTTGAATATGCCATTGGTACATGCCCCTTTTCTTTCCTGTTCCCTATGATTTTTCATGAGGGAAATCTGTTTTTCCTGTAGCACCCCCAACACACCTATTGCAAAATGATGCTTCTCAGTGTAAATCAGAAGGTAACTTTTGTCCTTTGTCCATTGTTTGAGTACAACTTGCAAGCACAGGGCAAAAACCTAGGGGAAAACTCAAATCTCTGTGGTCAAGTTGGCCTATGTCATATAAAGGCACTGGGGTTTTCTGGGTGTCTAGGTGGGGAGGGTTCACAAGAACAAAAGGTACTCCCTGCCCTTGCAAACTTGCGAGATGTGGTATGGGAGCCTGGGCACAAGAGCACTCAGCTGTAACTCACCCACGGCCTCACATTGCAGGAGGTGGGTGGGGTGAGAGGGTAAAGACCAGCATGCTTGGTGAGGGCCTTGCTGGGGATGGGAGCCTGGGAGGGTCTGCAACACCAAATGCAGAGATTTCAGATCACTCAGAACCATGCAAACCAAAGGGAATGAAGGGGGAAAGAGTGCCAAGAAATGAGTAGTTTCTCACAGGTGGGAGCCATGGAACCCCACGGTCCTTCCCGTGGAAACTTCCCTCAACGACGCAAGGCTGACCCCTCTAAGTCCTCAGAGCTGAGCACCCATGTCTCTCCTCTGGCTGCAGTCATCTGATTGCCGGGGTGCCTTCATCTAAGGTTTGGCAAGTGCTTTATCTTATAGAGCTTCATAAAATCACCACTGGCTTTCAGGGCCCAGAGACCTACTGAAGTTAACCATTCTTCATTGTTTTAAAATAAGTCGTGTGAACCCTCTTCAGTTTTGTCAAAAAGAAGAAATGGCTGTTTCAAAATGATGCTTTTCAGTATTTGCAGGGATTTCAACATCGTCATAGTCATCTTCAGGTTCAATGTAGCTTGGGATGGAAACAGTCTTCTTATTTTTAACTTTATTTACCAATGAGTATGTAGGTGGCGGCTGACTTGGGGTTTCCTGTGGGGCTAGAATACACAAAAAGATCCTTAGATGCAAAGCTATCATGTGTTTTTATATTTTTGACGCAGTGGCTCATTGCGATTTTCACGCTTCAGTGATCTTCCCACTTCTAGTGGGCCAGATCCCCATTTTACAGAGGAAATTCAGATGCAGACCTGACACAGTCTCCGGATCACCCAAGTGAGTAAATGGAAAATATTAGTCAGACATCTTGACTCCTGTATCTTTGCCTAAGACTGCCCTGCATGGAAACCATGAAGCAAAAGCTTAGAAAAGAAACAGACCAGGTCAGGTGCAGGAGCTCACACCTGTAATCCCAGTACTCTGGGAGGCCGAGGTGGGAGGATCACTTGAGCCCAAGAGTTCCAGACCAGCTTGGGCAACACAGGGAGACCTCGTCTCTACAGAAAAATTTAAAAATTAGCTGGATGTGGTGGTGCACGCTTATAGTCCCAGCTACTTGGGAGGCTGAGGCAAGAGGATCTCCTGAGCCCAGGAGGTTGAGGCTACAATGAGCCATGATCACACCACTGCACTTCAGTCTGGACAACGTAGTAAGACCCTGTCTCAAAAAAAAAAAAAAAAAAAAAAAAGAATGGATGAAAAGAAACAGACCAGAGCCCAGTAGTCATGAGTGCTGTTGTGTTACAGATCCTAATTTTCACAAGGAAGTGAAATAAATCATATTTCCTTTTTGGCACATCCCTTCCAGTGACTTACACTGTTTTCCAGGACTCTCCGTAATTGCTTATGTACAAATCTCTCTGCTAAGAAGAAAGGGGATGGCATTATTTTCAAAAGGTGGAATTAGTACAGAACAGGTCCATAGGAGGCCAGAGGTGGTGGCTCACGCCTGTAATCCCAGCACTTTGGGATGCTGAAGTGGGCGGATCACCTGAGGTCAGGAGTTCAAGACCAGCCTGGCCAACATGGTGAAACCCCGAATCTACAAAAATACAAAGATTAGCTGGGTGTGATGGTGGGTGCCTGTAATCCCAGCATCTCAGGAGGCTGAGACAGGAGAATTGCTTGAACCCAGGTGGTAGAGGTTGCAGTGAGCCATTATAGCATCACTGCACTCTAGCCTAGGCAACAGAATGAGGCTATGTCTCAAAAAAAAGAAAAGAAAAGAAAAACAAAAAAACAAAAAGAACAGGTCCATAAGTAATAGAAGGATGATGAAACAGCTTGAAACAGCTCAGCTCCATCTTTGATGGGGATAGGAACTGCCTCTCCCACAATCTCATCTTTTCCTAAGAAAACCTGAAATGCCACTATTTGCAGAACTCTGCAGTTTGACAGACCTGAGTTCATGTTCAGGTTCCAGCAGTCATTAGCTGTGTTACTATAGGTAAACCACTTATCTGTGCCTCAGCATCCTCATCTGTCAAAGGGGAATAAAAATGTACCTGACTTGGGCCAGGCACGGTGGCTCACGCCTGTAATCCCAGCACTTTGGGAGGCCGAGGTGGGCGGATCACCAGGTCAGGAGTTCGAGACCATCCTGGCTAACACAGTGAAACCCCGTCTCTACTAAAGATACAAAAAAAATTAGCCGGGCGTGGTGGCGGGCGCCTATAGTCCCAACTACTCAGGAGGCTGAGGCAGGAGAATGGCGTGAATGTGGGAGGCGGAGCTTGCAGTGAACCAAGATCACACCACTGCACTCCAGCCTGAGTGACAGAGCGAGACTCCGTCTCAAAAAAAAAAGTACCTGGCTTGTAGAGTTGTTGTGAGGACTGAATGAGCTAATACCTGTAAAGTGCTTAGTGTGGGACCTGAAACACAGCGCATGCTCAGTAAATGGTAGCTAATATTGTTTATCTAGCCAATCAAAATATTTTTCTTAAGTATCAACTAAGCCTCACGCCCTGCTCTAGGTAGTGGATAAATATGAATAGTGGTGGACAAGAAAGGTTCCTGTTTTCCTGAAGTTTATACTCCAGTGGAGGAGATCAATAATACACAAATGAACAACAAGTAAATAACACAATTTTGGATAACTGTCAGTTTCATAAAGGAAATTAGCAGGACTACTTTAGGTTGAGTGGTCAGAGAGGGCCTCTTTGAGGTGGTGACTTTTGAGCTGACATCTGAAGGATGAGGAAAATCTAGCTATGCAAAGAGCTTAAGGAAGAACATTCCAGTCAAAGGAACCAGGCAGAGTTTTTCTGATAGGAAGTGAGAGGCCTAGTGACACCCCATGTTTCTTTCTGTTTATGTTCCAAGCTGGAATTTGAACATGAATTTACACATTTATATCAGGATATTGGGGGCGTTGGTACTTATTCTGCCCCCTTTTTTCTTTTTCTTTTTCTTTTTTTTTTTTTTTTGAGACAGGGTCTCACTCTGTCATCCAGGCTGGTGTGCAGTGATTTGCTATCATAGCGCACTACAGACCTTCTAGGCTCAAGCGATCCCCCAACCCCAGCCTTCCAAGTAGCTGGGACTATAGGTGTGCACCATCACACTGGCTAATTTTTGTAAAGATAGGATTTTGCCATGTTGCCCAGGCTGCTTTCAGACTCCTGAGCTCAAGTCAACTGCCCGCCCTGGCCTCCCAAAGTGTTGGAATTACAAGCATATGCCACTGTGCCTGGCCTCTGGCTGTCTCTTTTAAACAGGATGCTGGTTGGGTGTGGTGGCTCATGCCTGTAATCCCAGCACTTTGGGAGGTCGAGGCAGTCAGATCACTTAAGGTCAGGAGTTCAAGACCAGCCTGGCCAATATGGTGAAACCCCATCTCTACTAAACATACAAAAAATTAGCTGAGTGTGGTGCTGTGCGCTGATAATCCCAGTTACTCAGGAGGCCAAGGCAGGAAAACAGCTTGAACCTAGGAGGTGGAGATTGCAGTGAGCCGAAATCACGCCACTGCACTCCAGCCTGGGTGAGACAGCAAGACTCTGCCTCAAAAGTAAAATAATCAGGATGCTGAATCTATAAATCCTAGTGCTACAGACTGAATGTTTGTGTCCCCCCAAAATTCATGTGTTCAAGCCTTAACCCCCAGTGAGGCTATATGTGGCCATAGGGATGAGGCCTTGATCCAACAGGATCAGTGTCCTTGTAAGAAGAAACACCAGAAATCTGGTTCCCCGACGCTCTTCCCCAGCTTGAATGCACCAAGGAAAGGCCATTTGTGGGGACATAGCAAGAAGGCACCTGTCTGCAAGCCAGGAGGAGGGCCCTCACCAGAAACCTCACAGAAATTGGCCAGCACCCTCATCTCAGGCTTCCAGTCTCAGAACAACGAGAAAACAAATTTCTGTTGGGTAAGCACCCCAGTCTATGGTATTTTTGTTACAGCAGCCTGAGCTATCTAAGACACCTTGATAGGGGCCAGGCGCCGTGGCTCACGCCTGTAATCCCAGCACTTTGGGAGGCCGAGGTGGGTGGACCACGAGGTCAGGAGATCGAGACCACAGTGAAACCCCGTCTCTACTAAAAATACTAAAAAAAAAAAAAAATTAGCTGGGCGTGGTGGCAGGCGCCTGTAGTCACAGCTACTTGGGAGGCTGAGGCAGGAGAATGGTGTGAACCCGGGAGGCGGAGCTCGCAGTGAGCTAGTGAGCCGAGATCGCGCCATTGCACTGCAGCCTGGGTGACAGAGTGAGACTCCATCTCAAAAAAAAAAAAAAAAAAAAAAAAGACACCTTGATAAACTTGTTATCCTACCCTAAATGAAACTGCTACCAGTAAAATATACTTACAGGAGTCTTCTAGAGAAGGCCAATTCCTTGGTGGCAGAGGCGGTAATTGAACTGGTGACTCATTAACATTCCTAGAGAGACAGAAAGAGAGAATCAGTGTTTGATTTGGGCCATGCCTGTTCCCAGCAGATTCAAGAGAAAACATCAAGGAAAGTGAATGGGTTGAACATTCAAATCTTGGTCTTTACAAATCGGAAGCATTTCCTTTCCTTTGTAGGTCCTGGATCCCATTTGTAATTGGCACCCTAATGAAACTGTTTCCTCTAGCCCAGGAAATGGCTGAAACTGAGGGGAAGGAAATAAAAGTGCTACAATTCAGAGCATGGAGCATACCTTCCTGGTTCACCTGAGCTGATTTAGGAGCGGTAGGCACCAGATGTATTTCTATTTGCAAAACAGCTGAGCTAGGCATGGTGGCTCACGCCTGTAATCCTAGCACTTTGGAAGGCCGAGGTGGGCGGATCACCTGAGGTCAGGAGTTCAAGACCAGCCTGGCCAACATGGTGAAAACCCGTCTCTGCTAAAAATACAAAAATTAGCCGGACATGATGATGCTCACCTGTAATCCCAGCTACTTGGGAGGCTAAGGCAGGGGAATCGCTTGAACCCGGGAGGCGGAGGTTGCAATGAGCCAAGATCATGCTACTGCACTCTAGCCTAGGCAACAGAGCGAGACTCTGTCTCAAAACAAACAAAAAAACCCAAAAAACAAAAGCAGATGAACTCCTAAAGCAGAATGTACACACACCTTGAGACTGCATTTCCACTACTGGGTCTACAGCCTATCAAAATGCTCACATATGTTCACCAAAACATGCATTAGAATGTTCAGAGCAACACTATTCATAACAGCTCCAAATTGGACACTACCTGTGTTAGTCTGGGTTGTCCAGAGAAGCAGAGACACATAAAATTTGCCATCACACAACCCAAATGCCCATCAGCAGTAGAATGGATAGATTAATTATAGTATAGCAACTGGGCAAGGTGGTTAACATCTCTAATACCAGCACTTTGGGAGGTGAAAGAGGGAGGACAGCTTGAGCCCAGGAGTTTAAGGGTAATATAGGGAGACCCTAAGCAACACAGGGAGACCCTGTCTCTACAAAAGAATCAAAATAATTAGCTGGTTATGGTGGCATACACCTGTAGTCCCGGCTACTCAGGAGACTGAAGCAGGAGGATCACTTGAGCCCAAAATCTGAGGTTACAGGGAGCTATGATTGCACCACTGTACTCCAGCCTGGTTGAGCGTGAGACCCTGTCTCAACATAAAAAATAAATAAATAGTGGTGTACTCCCACGGTGGAATGTTCTATAGCAACAAGAATGAATAATCTACAACCACACACAATGAATCTCATAAAAATGATGTAAGCAAAAAAGCCAAACACCAAATAATATATACTGTATGATGCCATTAATAAATTGCATAAAAACCAAAAAGCTGCTGGGCGCAGTGGCTCACACCTGTAATCCCAGCACTTTGGGAGGCCAAGGCGGGCAGATCATGAGGTCAGGAGATTGAGACCAGCCTGGCCAACATGATGAAACCCAGTCTCTACTAAAAATACAAAAATTAGTCAGGTATGGTGGTGTGCACCTATAGTCCCAGCTACTCAGGAGGCTGAGGCAGAAGAATCGCTTGAACCCGGGAGGCGGAGGTTGCAGAGAGCCAAGATCGCACCACTGCACTCCAGCCTGGCAACAGAGCGAGACTCTATCTCAAAAACAAGCAAACAAACAAACAACAAACAAACAAAAAAACCCAAAAAGCTAATTTATACTGTCACAGACAGTGATTACCTTTGGGATGTAACAGCTGAAAGGCTGTATAAGGTAAGCCTCTGAAGTGCCGGTAATTATTTCTTGATCTGGGTGCCAATTACCTGGGTCTGTTCAGTTCGTGGAAATTCATCAGGTTATACACTTAGTATTTCCATTTTTCTGTATTTATATTATACTTTGGTAAAAAGCTTTAACTAAAAGAGAAACTCTTAAGAAAGCTTCCTTATTTGGGCCTCCATCCCCCTAGGTACACTGATTTGACTCCTGTATGCTATAAAGTCCCCCTGGGAATGAAGAAACATTTTTAGGTTGTTGGGTTGAGTGCAGATGGGACATGGGGGTAGAGCTCCATTGGCGGCTCTCTCCACCCCTCTGTAGCTCTTCCTAAGGGAAGAAAGCAACTCATCTGACTGCTAAATTTGGGAAAAGTCTAGCTCCCCTCATTTTCTCCGCCAGAGCTGGCCTGACTGCAGAAATCACAAATCCTGCTCCGGTCTTTGCCATTCAGAGAAAGGGGTCTGCTCGGTGGGGGAGACCTGAGGTTTTCTGGAGCTGCCTGTCAACTGGGCGGGAAAGTCACCCAGTTCCAAATTAGGAAACTCACTAGCTCACAGAAAAGAGCCACATTCTGCAATCCCAGTTTTATTCTTTTTTGTGTTGCTTTGTGTTTTTTTTTTTTTTTTTTTTTGAGACGGGAGTCAAGCTCCGTCTTCCACGGCTGGAGTGCCAGTGGCCGGGATGTTTGGGCTCACTTGCAAGGCTCGCCTTCCCGGTTCACTCCGTTTCTGCCTCAGCCTCCCGATTAACTGGGACTTACAGGCCGCCCCGCCACCATGCTGGCTAGTTTTTTGTATTTTTTTCATGTAGAGACGGGGTTTGCACCGTGGTAGCTAGGATGGTCTGATCTTTTTTTTCCTGACCCTCATGATCTGCCCGTCTTGGCCTCCCAAAGTGCTGGGATACAGACTTGAGCGCGGCGCCCGGCCTGCTGTTTTTTTTTTTTTTTTTGAGGACAGAGATTCACACTCTGACACCCAGGCGTGGAGTGCAGTGGCACCATCACAGCTCACTGCTTGCCCCAAACTCCATGGGTTCAAGCAATCCTCCCACCTCAGCCTCCCAAGTAGCTGGGACTACAAGCAGACGCCACCACACCTGGCTAATTTCGGTATTTTTTTCAGATATGGGGTCCCACTATGTTGGCCAGGCTGGTCTCAAACTCCTTGCCTCAAGCCATTCCTCCCCTTGGGCCTCCCAAAGTGCTGGGATTTAGGCATGAACCACTGCCCCAGCGCAATACCAGTTTTAATTTTTTTGCTTTTTTTTTTTTTTTTTGAAGGGAGTCTCACTCTGTGGCCCAGGCTGAAGTGCAGTGGCCAGATCTCAGCTCACTGTCACTGCAAGCTCCGCCTCCTGGGTTTATGCCATTCTCTCCTGCCTCAGCCTCCCGAGGTAGCTGGGACTACACGGCACCACCACCTCGCCCTGCTAGGTTTTTTTTGTGTGTATTTTTTAGTAGAGACGGGGTCTTCACGGTGGTTAGCCAGGATGTCTCTTGATCTCCTGACCTCGTGATCCACCCATCTTGGCCTCCCAAAAGTGGCTGGGATTACAGGTTGAGCCACTTGCGCCCGCCTTTTTTTTTTTTTTTTTTTTTTGAGACTGAGTTCACTCACCACCCAGGCTGGAGTGCAGTGGCACAATCTTGGCTCACTGCAACCTCCACCTCCTAGGTTCACGTGATTCTCCTGCCTCAGCCTCCCAAGTAGCTGGGATTACAGGCACCCGCCACCATGCCCGGCTAATTTCTGTATTTTTGGTAGAGACGGGGTTTCACCATGTTGGTCAGGCTGATCTCAAACTCCCGACCTCAGGTGATCCGCCCGCCTTGGCCTCCCAGATCTGGGATTACAGGTGTGAGCTGCCACACCTGGCCCCAGTTGCATTCTTTTAAAAGGCAGTATTTTAGTCACCTGTCTTATTCCTGAAGGGGATCAGAATTGATGGAGGCAGGGGGAGTCTTATTTGCTGGATCCCTGAAGCTACAGTCAAAGGCATTTTAGAAAAGCATAGGTTTAACAACGTTTTGTATACGGTGTCTCACTATGTTGTCCAGGCTGGTCTTGAACTTCTGGCCTCAAGTGATACTCCCACCTTGGCCTCCCAAAGTGCTGACATTACAGGAATGAGCCACTGCACCTCGCCCCAAGAGTAAGTTTTGTTTTAGATAGTGTATATATTCCAAAGAAAGGACTGGCTCTTGACTGGCTCCTGGGAAATAATATCTAAACCCTTGGAATAGCCTCCCTAATAAGAGTGTCTCCAGCCAGGCGCGGTGGTTCACGCCTGTAATCCCAGCACTTTGGGAGGACGAGATGGGTGGATCACGAGGTTAGGAGTTCGAGACCAGCCTGGACAACATGGCGAAACCCCATCTCTACTAAAAATACAAAAAATTAGACAGTCGTGGTGGCGGGCACCTATAGTCCCAGCTACTTGGGAGGCTGAGGCAGGAGAATTGCTTGAACCCAGGAGGTGGAGGCTGCAGTGAGCCGAGATGGCACCAGTGCACTCCAGCCTGGGCAATAGAGCAAGACTCTGTCTCAAAACAAACAAACAAACAAAAAAAACAGAGACAAGAGGAGGGAGGACTTGCCCAGCATTAACAGTGTCCTGAGTCTCTGCCCTTATGTGGAGAGATTTGGCAGGTGTGACATCTCACCAGCTCTACAGGAAATGCAGATGTCTCAGTCATACTGGTACAGAGTGGAGGGGCAAGAATGGAAGTGAACAGGCAGTTCTCAACAGTAAAAAGCAGAAGGATTCCTCCCCACTTACTCATACATTTTTTCTTCATCTGCTTGCTTGTTTTTCAAGGGCTTGGCAATTTCCCATTTCTTGCCTAAGAGAAGGAAAAGCATGTTCATTGAAGAAGAATTAGCAAAAGTTGTGATTTTCGAATTGAACTCAGAAAAAACACACTTAGGGACACCGAGTTAATAAATGATAGAACTGGACTTTGAATCCAGACTGTCTGACCACAGAGCCTCTGCACTAACCCAGTGAGGGCGGGCACAGTGTGGGTGGTGTTTATTTCCTCTATGCCTGGCACTTAGGTGGCACTTAGAAATGTTGGTCGAATGAATAATCAAAAGTGTGGTTGGGAGGAAATCAGATAAAGCCTCGGAAAAGCAGTTTGTATCCTGTAATGTGCTGGACATATAAGTTGTCATAAATTAAAACCTGCTTGTTAATAGGAGTGGTTGAGGATAAAAAGAAAGGAGGTAAAGTTTTAGTTCAGGGTCATTCTTTTGTCCATATTTGAGAATGGAAACTTTTTTTTTTTTCCCGCAGACAGAGTCTTGCTCTTGTTACCCAGGCTGGAGTGTAGTGGTGCAATCTAGGCTCACTGCAACCTCTGCTCCCTGGGTTCAAGCCATTCTCCTGCCTCAGCCTCCAGAGTAGCTGAGATTACAGGCGCCCATCACCACACCTGGCTAATTTTTGTATTTTTAGCAGAGACGGGGCAGGGGGTTTCACCATGTTGGCCAGGCTGGTCTCGAACTCCCGACCTCAAGTGATCCACCCGCCTCGGCCTCCCAAAGTGCTGGGATTACAGGTGTGAGCCACTGCACCTGGTGGGAATGAAAACTTTTTAGAAGGCAAAAGGAGGCCAGGCACGGTGGCTCACATCTGTAATCCCAGCACTTTGGAATGCCAAGGCTGGAGGATCACTTGAGGTCGGGAGTTCAGGACCAACCTGGCCAACATGGTGAAACCCTGTGTCTACTAAAAATTCAAAAATTATCCAGGCATGATGGCATACGCCTGTAATCCCACCTGCTGAAGAGAATGAGGCAGGAGAATCACCTGAACCTGGGAGGTGGAGGTTGCAGTGAGCCCAGATCACACCACTGCACTGCATCCTGGATGACAGAGACTCCATCTGGAAAAAAAAAAAAAAAAAAAGGGCAAAGGACAGAGGACTGTAGGGTCTCAGACTACACTTTTTGTATTAAAAAATTAATTACGATAGAGGAGAAAGAACATTTAATTGGAAGCCCAGCAGGCCTGAGTTCTGGTCCCAACTCTGCCACCCATTCTTATGGCACCTCAGTGAAGCTCTCATCTTCCTTTGAACCTTAATTTTCTTATCTCTAAAGAGAGATTGAGAAGAATGACAGAAAGATTTCACTTCTTGTCTATCTGTGATCTGCCAGCACTGAGCTGGGCTGAGCAGGAATCTGGAGGCTGTGACCAGATACAGTGAGTGGATAGTGGCTTCATCATTGAGGGATGCCAGTCCAGGGTGCCCCAGGGAAGGTGGCTGTACCTCTCAGTGTGCTTACCATCCCTAGGTGTACTCCCTGCTTAGGTCATTGTTGTTGTTGTTAGGTGTACTCCCTGCTTAGGTCATTGTTGTTGTTGTTGTTGTTGTTATTATTATTTTGAGATGGACTCTCGCTCTGTCGCCCGGGCTGGAGTGCAGTAACACCATGTCGGCTCACTGCAACTTCTGCCTCCCGTGTTCAAGCGATTCTCCCACCTCAGCCTCCTGAGTAGCTGGGATTACAGGCACCCACCATCACGCCCGGCTAATTTTTGCATTTTCAGTGGAGATGGGGTTTTGCAATGTTGGCAGGCTGGTCTCGAACTCCTGACCTCAAGTGAGCCACCTACCTTGGCCTCCCAAAGTGCTGGGATTATAGGCATGAGCCACTGTGCCCGGCCAGGTTGTTATTTAAAGGGATGAGATGTCAAGATAACACACCATTGAATCAAGGCTTTCATGTTTCTGGCGATGAACAGGAAAGTGGAAACCCTACTTACAGATAATCTAAAGTTAGTGTTAATCCCCAGACCACTTATTTATGTCTGAGGGTACCAAGAGGTTTCTGGTCTAGGTAATACCAGAAGATTCAGAGTTTGGTCTCAGAGAAGGCAATCATAGTGGCCAAACATGTTGGCTGTGGGTTGAGTCCATATTTTATTACTCAAGAAAGTTCTTTTTTTTTTTTTGAAACAGTCTCACTCTTGTTTCCCAGGCTGGAGTGCAGTGGCGCGATCTTGGCTCATTGCAAGCTCCGCCTCCCAGGTTCACGCCATTCTCCTGCCTCAGCCTCCTCAGTAGCTGGGACTACAGGCGCCCGCCACCGCGCCCGGCTAATGTTTTTGTATTTTCAGTAGAGACGGGGTTTCACCGTGTTAGCCAGGATGATCTCGATCTCCTGACCTCATGATCTGCCTGCCTCGGCCTCCCAAAGTGCTGAGATTACAGGCGTGAGCTGCCGCGCCTGGCCGACAGTTCTTTTTTTTTTTTGGAGTCTCACTCTGTCGCCCAGGCTGGAGTGCAGTGGCCGGATCTCAGCTCACTGCAAGCTCCGCCTCCCGGGTTCACGCCATTCTCCTGCCTCAGCCTCCCGAGTAGCTGGGACTACAGGCGCCCGCCACCGCGCCCGGCTAATGTTTTTGTATTTTCAGTAGAGACGGGGTTTCACCGTGTTAGCCAGGATGATCTCGATCTCCTGACCTCATGATCTGCCTGCCTCGGCCTCCCAATGTGCTGAGATTACAGGCGTGAGCCGCCGCGCCTGGCCCGACAGTTCTTAATATTCCATATACTTGTGTTCTCTCAAGATGCTGTGATCAGTAGCCACACAGGAAAGAAAAAGCCCTTGAGCATACTGTGCCTTAAAACAGATTCTGCTTTCACCGGATGATTAGGGCTGGAAGGGCTCTTGGAGATTAGTTGACATCCCTCCTTTCACTACGCGGATGAGGAAACTGAGGCCTAGAGACATAATGTAGTGGCAGGGCTAGGACTCAAACCCAGAATGCAAGATGCTTAATCCAAAATTCAGCTCATTCAAGCCCAGGATTGATTGCTTGCCCTAAAGGATCAGTGCTCTACTGCACTGATAACCACCTGGCTCCTCCCTCCACCTGCCCAGGTAAGATGGCCATTACCTTGTCGAAGCTGCCACTTACAGACACAATACAGGATGAGGCCCAGGCCCACAGAGACAACGATGATGGCCACAGCTAAGATGATCCAAAAATTGTTCCTCCACCAACTCATTGCAGTGGAATCCTGAGAAGAATGGAGAGACAAGAATGAGGCATGAATGAAAGATATCCTGGGGTGGGGTGGGGTGGGGCGGTTATCTACTGTGTTTTTGTTTTTGTTTTTGTTTTTTTGAGTCGGAGTCTTACTCTGTCACCCAGGCTGGAGTGCAATGACATGATCTCAGCTCTCAGATCATTACAACCTCCACCTCCCGGGTTCAAGTGATTCTCCTGCCTCAGCCTCCAGGGTAACTGGGACTACAGGCACCTGCCACCACGCCCAGCTAATTTTTGTATTTTTATTTTTATTTTTATTTTTTATTTATTTATTTTTTTTTTTTTTTTGAGACGGAGTCTTGCTGTGTCGCCCAGGCTGGAGTGCAGTGGCACGATCTTGGCTCACTACAAGCTCCACCTCCCGGGTTCACGCCATTCTCCCGCCTCAGCCTCCGAGTAGCTGGGACTACAGGCGCCCACTACCACGCCCGGCTAGTTTTTTGTATTTTTAGTAGAGACGGGGTTTCACCATGTTAGCCAGGATGGTCTCGATCTCCTGACCTCGTGATCCACCCGCCTCGGCCTCCCAAAGTGCTGGGATTACAGGCTTGAGCCACCGCGCCCGGCCCTAATTTTTGTATTTTTAGTAGAGACAGGGTTTCACCATGTTGGCCTGGCTGGTCTCGAACTCCTGACCTCAGGTGATCCACCCGACTTGGCCTCTCAAAGTGCTGGGATTACAGGCATGAGCCACGGCGCCCAGCTAATCTACTGTGTTGTGTAGAGATGCAGACATCTGCTTAGGAATCAGGTGCTGGTTCACAGCCATACCCTACTGATTAACACCTGGGGGACCTCAGGCATGTCACTCGACCTTCTGTGAGCCTCATCTGTAATATGGGGATGATACCTCCTACTTCAATGCAGTTTGTGAGGACTGGAGATCAAGCATGTACCTACTGGGCCCTCTAGAAGTGGTAGACATCATCACTGCTCTTTCAGACATGCAGCAGGAGGGGGAAGGTGCCATTTAAAGCAATAATTGATGGCAGGGTTTTTTTGTTTTTTTTTGTTTGTTTGTTTTTTGAGAAGCAGTCTTGCTGTGTTGCCCAGGGTGGAGTGTGGTGGCGCAATCTCAGCTCACTGCAACCTCCACCTCCCAAGCAATTCTCCTGCCTCAGCCTCCTGAGTAGCTGGGATTAAAGGTGTGCGCCACCACGCCTGGCTAGTTTTTATATTTTTAGTAGAGGCGGGGTTTCACCATGTTGTCCAGGCTGGTCTCGAACAGTTGTTTTTAATCACAAGGACAAGTCAGATTTAATGCATAGCAGGGGAGATAAATTTTAAGAGCTCTTGTTTGAGGTGAGGGTTAGAAAAATAGCTGGATGGGTCTCTTTGAGTGAGATATGGTCAGAAGGGTGAAGCTGAAGAGATAGGGCAAATTGAGTTGATCTGCATGAGAGAGTTAACAGGCATTTGGGGGCTGGAAGCTGACAGACCAGAGAGGGGAAAAATCTTGGAAAAGGTTAGCAGCAGAGAGAGAGGTCAAGAAGAGAGCGGCAAGTCAGAACCTGGTTAGGAAGCTCCCGCAGTGGCAAATAACCAAGGCATTTCTAGGACAGTAATGCCTCATGTCCAGCTTTAAATTGCTACCTAGGTTATGCTGTGGTGTCACCTTTTGTTAACATCAAACCTCCAATAAAACTGCATAACATGGCTGGGTGCAGTGGCTCATGCCTGTAATCCCGGCACTTTGAGAGGCTGAGGCAGGCAGATCACTTCAGGTCAGGAGTTCAAGACCAGCCTGGCCAACATGGCAAAACCCTGTCTCTACTAAAAATAAAAAAATTAGCCGAGTGTGGTGACTTGCCACCCGTAGTCCCAGTTACTCGGGAGGCTGAGGCAGGAGAATTGCTTAAAGCCAGGAAGCGGAGGTTGCAGTGAGGCGAGATCACACCACTACGTTCCAGCCTGGACAACAGAGCAAGACTCCATCTCAAAACAAAAACAAAGGCTGGGTGCAGTGGCTCACGCCTGTAATCTCAGCACTTGGGGAGGCTGAGGCGGGCAGATCACTTGAGGTCAGGAATTCGAAACCAGCTTGGCCATCATGGTGAAACCCCTTTTCTACTAAAAATACAAAAAATTAACTGGGCATGGTGGTGCACGCCTGTAATCCCAGCTACTCAGGAGACAGAGGCAAGAGAATTGCTTGAACCCGGGAGACAGGTTGTGGTGAGCCGAGGTTGCGCCATTGCACTCCAGCCTGGGCAACAAGAGTGAGACTCCATCTCAAAAAAAACACTGATCTCAAAGTGAGAGTTGTGAGAACCCCAACTTTGAAGCTGGTTGCTCTCAAGTTCCAGAGGCCCGGAGTTGCGACCAGTGTCTGGGGAGTTGGGGGCAGCAGTCTTGGGACTGAGCCGTGGGATCTGATGCTATCTCTGGGTCTATAGTGCTGGCATTGAATTGGAGAACACCCAGCTGGTGTTCACTGCTTGGTGTGTGGGGGGAAAAAACCCGCACACATTTGGTCACAGAAGCCCTTTTCTGTGTTGATTGTGGTGGTGTGTGAGAACAGAGGAAAAACACCGTCGGCAGAGTTTTCCTGAAACGATACTCTTTAGAGTGATAGAGATAAATACCAGGACCTGCGCATTCAAAGCTGTTGTATCTGGATTGTGACTGCGTGGAAGGAGGGGTCTGCGTGAAAGGATGAGGCGGGAAGACAGGGACTGTTGCTTTTCATTATAAACTCTCTGCATTACTGGATTCTTGCACTAGGTACATTTACTTTGATAACACTGAAAAGAAGAAATTCACCATGTAGTGTAGCCTCCAAGAAAAACTATTGCTTAGGTTTCAAGGTCAAGGAAATTTCATTCTCATCAGTTTCTCGGGAAAGAGGAAGTGGAATGATATTGTCAGAAAGGGAAACCCTGGGTCATTTTCAGAACTACTCAGAGTGATAAATAGTTTTTGTCAGTTTTGTTCTTACGAATGAAATGGACTGCAGGGAGACACTTTTTTTTTTCTTTTCTTTTTTTTTTTTTTTTGAGATGAGGTCTCGCTCTGTCCCCCAGGCTGGAGTGTGATGGCGCAATCTCGGCTCACTGCAACCTCCGCCTCCCTGGTTCAAGCGATTCTTCTGCCTCAGCCTCCCAAGTAGCTGTGATTACAGGTGTGTGCCACCACGCCCGGCTAATTTGTTTTGTATTTTTAGTAGAGACGGGGTTTCACCATGTTGGCCAGGCTGGTCTCGAACTCCTGACCTCAGGTGATCCACCTGCTTCGGCCTCCCAAAGTGTTGGGATTACAGGCGGCCGACACATTTTCAGCAGAACCAAGGAGAGCTTGCTTTTTGAGAGAGGGCAGCTGAGAGAGGGGGCCTAAGAGAATCACATTCTAGTTCCAGTAGGAAGTCTTCTAGGCCACCAGGCTGGTTTAATGGCCAAGGTGCTTCCAGACAGGGGAAGCCCTGGGGAAGGATGACAGAGAGTATGGACAATGGGAAGATCACGATGGCTGCATGACCAAGTTCAGGCCCTGGGAAGGTATGGAAGCTGCATCCTACCTGTGCTAGCAGGCCTGGAGTTGTGGCCACAGAGGGCTGATAAGATTGTGAGTACAGCTGGGCGGCGGTCGGCTCAAGCCTGTGGAGTCCCAGCACTTATGGGAGGCCGAGACGGGGTGAATCAACACAGAGGATCAGGGAAGAATCGAAGATACCATTCTGGGCTAATCACGGGTGAAACCCTCGTCTCTTACTAAACAAAATACAAAAAAACTAGCCTGGGCGATAGAAAAACAGAGTGGCGGGGCGCCTGTAGTCCCCAAGCTACATCGGGAAAGGTGAGGCATGCGAAATGTGGACGTGACCGGGTAGCGGAGCTTGAAACGGTGAGCATGAGATCCGGCCTACTGCACTCACAGCCCTGGAGCGACAGAGCGGGAACTACCAGTAACTCAGAAAAAAAAAAAAAAGCAAAAAAACAAAAAAAAAAAAAGATTGTGAGTACAGGACTGCTGAGGGCTACTGAAGGATGGCAAAGAAGTGTTTGTACTGGCTGAGTGGCTCACGCTTGTAATCCTAGCACTTTGGAAGGCCAACGCAGGTGGATCACTTGAGTCCAGGAGTTCAAGATAGCCTGGGCGACCCAGCAAGACCCTGTCTCTATGCACACACACACAACACACAAACACACACTTACATGTAGCCGGGCGTGGCGTCATGCGCCTGTAGTCCCAGCTACTCAGGAGGTTAAGCTCCTCTGCAGCTACTCAGGGGTTTCACCCTGCTGGCCAGGGTGGTCTTGAACTCCTGACCTCAAGTGATCCGTCCTCCTCTGCCTCCCAAAGTGCTGGGATTACAGACGTGAGCCACCGCCCCACCCAGAATGAACTTTCAAAAGGGAACAAGGGCCAGGCGCGGTGGCTCAAGCCTGTAATCCTAGCACTTTGGGAGGCTGAGACAGGCGGATCACAAGGTCAGGAAATCGAGACCACCCTGGCTAACACGGTGAAACCCCGTCTCTACTAAAAAGTACAAAAAACTAGCCAGGCGAGGTGGCGGGCACCTGTAGTCCCAGCTACTTGGGAGGCTGAGGCAGGAGAATGGCCTGAACCCGGGAGGCGGAGCTTGCAGTGAGCTGAGATCGCGCCACTGCACTGTAGCCTGGGCGACAGAGCGAGACTGTCTCAAAAAAAAAAAAAAAAAAAAGGGAACAAGGATTAGAGAAGGGAGTGACACCCAATAGAACCAGAACCGGAGAGAAGGGACTTGGGGGCAGGAAGTTGAGAGCTCACACTTAAGTTTCCATTTCCTCTGAGTTGGGAGGCAAAATCAACAGCCTGGGGGCTGAGGTGGGAGGAGCTGGCTTGAGCAGAGCAGTCCAACAGCACACACCAACTCCTCCACCTTCCAGCCCAGCCCCCACTCCCCATTCCCATGGCACTTTCTTCACAATTTCAGTTGATGGAGCCTTTCTTGTGAGGCCGTCCTTTCTCCTTGCCTGCTGCATCCCAAGG